TGCGAAATATAAAATATTCGTGTCACGTACGTGGTACGTTTCTCCCCGAGAGCGACGTGTTTCGTCGGCGAGAGACGAAATCTCCCCATCTCTCCTGCGGCATAATTTATCCGAAAATCTTCGCGAGGACCCTGCCATTTTTTTCCTCCCCGGACGTTATCGTTTCTCATTCAACGAAACGAACGGAGAAAACCGGCGAAACGAGAGACGAGTAGCGCGGAAATCGGAGCTCTTTCGTCTTTCCTATTTCCCATGCATTCTTCTCGCAATCCTCGTCTTCCGCTTGGCTCCTCCGCGCAAGCTGCGCGATGAAAAGAGGCGCGATGATGTCGTAACTGCGTCGTATCCCGGATTTCGCACTCGCCGCGGCGAACGCGAGGAAAAAATGACGTGCTCGCCGGGGGTCGTCGACCTTCGCCACCCCCTACGGGCCATCTTCTTCTTCGAGTAGGATATATTTTATCTTCGACACCCTCGAGGATGATATCGGCCCTCTCGCCGCTTGCTCTCATTTTGATTGATGACGCCTTATTGTGCGCGGCTGCTGGAACTTGTAATGGACGAGTCACTGTTCGCCGGTTTTATTGGTGTTTACAGTCCTCGCCGAAGGAATTGCCGTACTTTCATCGCACGTTCTTGGCGCACATATTTTTCGCGTTCTTCGTTTTTACGGGACTCTTCTGAACTTGGAGGCTTGAACGTTTCAATGTTTGTTCTAACACTGGAACTACCGAGCAGTCGAATTGATATTTGACGGTTTTTTATGGAAGCCTTAAGAGTGGTCTATAGAGGTTTCAATTGATTAACAGTTTGCTATCGGTAGATCTGTTCAGTCATCTCAGGGAAACGATTTTCAATAATTGCGAAAAGAAATTCGAGATGGCTCTAGTTCTAGTGTTCACTTTCGAATGAATTTTAAAAGTTTTATTATCAAATATAAGTTACGATTGTTCTTCAATATGTAACGAATTTGTCCATTGTACTGAATCTGTAGCATTGTGTTTGAAAGGTTTGCTGAAAATTTTAGTACTAATGTTCGAGAACGTTTGTAAACGTCTACTTTGTGATTAAGAGTAAGGTTTATAAAGAGATTCGAAAGGACCAGGTAAACAATTGAATGGACATTGCTGCAGGAATCCTGGGCCATAATGACAATGCACTAGTCGAAGGAGGGTTGCACTTAACGAGGGTTGACCGCCATCAGATAAGTCAGGCACACTGTACGAGACGCTCCGAGGGGTTCAACGATAAAATAAATCACGAAACTACCATTTCGGCGTGGCCGCTTCTCTATACAGGAGGATCCACTCCACGGATCATTTGATGGTTATTTCGGTCAGAGGCAACCGCTCGGCGGTGCTATGAATTTTTTTAAGGGACGCTTGTTTCCCGCGTTATCGCCGGAACGCGTAGAGAACGTACCGCGAGGAATCACATTTTTGGAATTTCATCGAGAGTTCTGTATGATTTTTATTATGCGAAGATATTCGAGAAATTGTCTGCTCCATTATCGTGTTAAAGGTGATTTTTTAATTGATAAAAAATAGAACATTATTGTCTACTGGAATGAAAAATAAAGTAATCGTAAGAATTTAAAGTAATGTTATGTATTTGTGCGATGACAAAATACTCTTTCGGAGTTTTATCGCCTTGTTTATAGTCAGATCGAACAATCTGACGGTTCGACAATGAATTTCCTCTCCGTCCGATCGAAAGATATATAACTCGAACTTTGTTCAACGTATCTCGTGTCACGATTTATCTTATCGGTTCAATTACGAAGTGTCGTTTCATGTTCCGCCTTCTGCGATCGCGCGGCGTAACGACTTCTTTACGATTATCGATGCATAGTGATATTAATATTATTCAGAAATTAGTAAATTTTCAATTACTCCTCCTGCAACGCTCAGGTAATTAAAACATCGTTTCGACTAAACTGCAGTGCAATGCGTCTAACAAAAGAAAGATCAAGTGAACACACGTCACGACGACAAAACCGAAAAGAAAAGTAAATGAAAAATAAAATGAAAAGACGGTGAACAACACAATAACTCAGGAGTTCAATTAACCAGTTAACTGTGGAATTCAGTTGGAAAAACCTCTGGTTCTGCAATAAAATCAAAAAATGGAGCGTGT